CAATTGCCATATATTTAATCAAAAGACTAAAATGTTGATTTTATGCATTCAATTGAACTTCCATCCAAATAGAGCTTGACACAAAACAATCTCAAATAAAGAATTAATCCTCTTCTACCAAATAACAAATCAATCACCATTTTCTAACAATTAAAAAAAAAAGAAAAATTAAGAATCTGAATAAATGTAAATTAAGCTATATAATTATTTAAATAAATGTGTATAGATACAATGCATCCTCCTAGATAGCAAAAAGAAGCACCAAATTTATGTAGAGGCCACATATATGTTGATTTCAACATGTTTTAATGGCTACCAACTAATGAGAATCAACCTTTCTTAAGGAAAATAATGTTGCCCCTTTTCGACCTGAGCAGCTAGTCAAACTTTGGGGCACTGGGGATATTCCAGCTGGGAGTAGAAATTGGTGATAAACAGGTATTTCGTTGAGGCAGTTTTGTTTATTTACAAATGCGTCTCTGAATGCAGAAGGAATCAAGCAGGAAACAGCTTCTTTTCTTCACAGCGCCAAGAGCACTTTTTTCAGCCTGCATCCCTGACCCGAAAACCTCTCCCCAGTTTTCTTTCAAGGTCAGACACTGGCCTTTCAGCTGCATCATTAGAATCATAGAATCATATAATGTCAGGGTTGGAAGGGACCTCAGGAGGTCATTTAGTCCAACCCCCTGCTCAAAGCAGGACCAATCCCCAATTTTACCCCAGATCCCTCAATGGCCCCCTCAAGGATTGAGCTCACAACCCTGGGTTTAGCAGGCCAATGCTCAAACCACTGGGCTATCCCTCCCCCCTTCATTCTCTGGTCCTCTGTGTTCTACCTATTTTCTCAAACTCCCTCACATGCTACTCAGCAAACCCTTCCACCCACCAACCCACCCACTCAGTCCAAACTCCCAGGGAGGTTCACATAACCCTTATCTTAGGTAGGGGCTTGTGATTAATTTATTCTTATGGTTATGCTAATTCAAGGACCAGTTCACACCCATCCTTCTCAGCAGGGTTTAAGTCGACCCATAACAAGGTTTCACCCAGCTCATAACAATAACTAAAAAGTACAAATGCAAAACGTGATTAAAATGGATTATTTAAATCAAAGTTTCCTGCTTGCTGATTTAAATCATGATTAAAATCGGTATATTTAAATCGCTTTGATTTAAATCCATCCACCAACCAGGGCTATCTTGAGCACATCAGACCTATTCCCTCTATTCTCTACATTGGCTTCCCATGGAATATTGAGTTGAGTTCAAGGTCTTGGTCCTTATCTTCAAGACACTCAATCGCCAGGGACCAGGATATCTAAAAGATTGCCTAAATCTCTGTGATGAGGACCATGGTTCAATTACTCTACTTTTCAAACACAGTGGAACTTTCTACCATAAGGGCAAAGCTCATCCATGCAGAATGTAGAGCTTTCTTGCAGGCTGGTCCAAAACTGAGGAACAAACTTCCACAGAAAATAAGGACCGTCACAACCTTCACCACCTTCTGCTCCAAGTGCAAGGTACACTAGGATAAACACACAGCACCATGTAATTATTTATAAACAAACAAACCTACCTAAACAATACATGACACACAGAATTTTGCCCCGAGAAGAAGCTAAGAGAACAAACCACACACGACAGATGTTAGTTATGTTGCTTAATGCACTATCGGAAGGTGCGCTGATACGTTGGTGATGGAAGGTGTACAAGAACCTATAAAGAATCGAATAGACTGCAATAGGATGGCCTTTATCTGTGAGCATCTCATACTTTCTGAAAACTACATTAAATATTTCATCTTTCTGACATGGATATTTACTGTTCCATAAATTGTGAAAACTGTGCTTTGGTCTAAATTTCTATTGTTCCCGAGCATACTCTACTATGGTTAGTTAGCCCAAGGCCTGCAGAATTACCCTCTGCTGATTCTGACTTATGAGCTCTTGGAAGAGGTCTGGTGGTCTGATATGTTCCCAACATCTTTTTCTTTTAAATCAACCAAGCCTGTATGCATAAACATATTTGTATAAAAATTAAGAGTTAATGTCAGGTTTCAGAGGAACAGCCGTGTTAGTCTGTATTCGCAAAAAGAAAAGGAGTACTTGTGGCACCTTAGAGACTAACCAATTTATTTGAGCATGAGCTTTCGTGAGCTACAGCTCACTTCATCAGATGTTTACCGTGGAAACTGCAGCAGACTTTATATACACACAGAAATCATGAAACAATACCTCCTCCCACCCCACTGTCCTGCTGGTAATAGCTTATCTAAAGTGATCAACAGGTGGGCCATTTCCAGCACAAATCCAGGTTTTCTCACCCTCCACCCCCCCACACAAATTCACTCTCCTGCTGGTGCTAGCCCATCCAAAGTGACAACTCTTTACATAATCAAGTCGGGCTAAGTTAATGTGTAAATCAACAATTAATTTGCAAGTTAAATTGCCTAGCTCTGGCAAAACCAGCTACATTTGTAATTGCAAGCCTGTAACAAAGTATTAGAAAGAGGTGCTCTCTCTCCCATATAATCAAATCGTGTTTTGCAGTAGCAAACAAATTATAGTTTATTTTACTATAAGCCCTACCCAGACTTAGTTTAATTTGCAAAAAGTCTCTTGCCTTTACAGCAAAAATAAATGCCTCGGACTGCAGCTTATAGTTTGCATTATTTTCCCTCTTAAAATCAAACTGTATCTCCATAAAACAGCTACGACCAAGTTTGCAAGGCCCTAAAGGTTGCTACACAGCCTGCTCTGGTTTGGCTGGAAAATTAAACTGTGGGTTGCCATTCTGGCAAAAATACTGTGAACTACTTAATTAGCTGACAGGCCCATATCTAATCTCTCCTGTGAAGTTGCCAGAGACCACTCGCTGACCAGGCATCATGTTGAAACTGGAACTCAGCCTCAGGTATGCTTAGCAGAACACTTATCCTTGGTTCAACTCATTTCTGAAGCAATTGCTATGTGGCTGAGATCAGTTATGATGGGATAGCCTAATTTTGGCAATTAATTGATCTTTGACTATTAGAAGTAAATATGCTTAATGGCCTGTGATGGGATGTTAGATGGGGTGGGATCTAAGTTACTACAGAGAATTCTTGCCTGGATGTCTGGCTGGTGAGTCTTGCCCACATGCTCAGGGTTTAGCTGATCGCCATATTTGGGGTCAGGAAGGAATTTTCACAGTTTTAAGTGATTTAAGATGAGAGATTTCCTGGAAACAAGCTTCCAGTTTTGATAAAATTGTGGTGGTAATTTGACTTTATCAATTATCTTAAACTAACAAAATAGTCTTTAAATGGGATTTTAATTTAAGAATATTTCTACCTATGCTAGACTGTAAAAGCTCAGTTTATAAAAAAAAAAAACTAGATGGAAAGATCATTACTATTTTTAACAAAAATATTTATTTCAGAGACTTTCTCACTCCCACCTCTAAAATCCATTCTTCTGCAAATCACTGATATTGTCAAAAGTAAAATATTCCTGTGACATTATGCCAAAAAGTGCAAAAACTCTGCAGATACCTTCCAGCAAAAGTGCCACAACATTTTTATTTCTTAATAATACATTTTCTCTCTAATATATATATTTTTGTTTCCAGTAACTGCAGGTTATATATTTCATTTATATATATCAGGTCACCTCTAGTGTATGCAGGTACAACTCCACTGACTTCAATATTTAAACCAGGATTGAATTTAGCCTATTAAATATATTTTTTAAAAACTGCAACTCCAGAAACAAACATTTCTCTGGTTGTTGACTTTAAAAAGTGGCAATTCATTAAAGCTGTTCAAGCTTTTAAAGATGGTTGGAATTATAGACTAAAACCCAAAAAGGGAGATTAATGAACAGAAGGCAGGTAAGGTTGTCAAGAGGTTCATGGTGAATACAATTTACCACATGGTTATGACGCTATACCTGTATGGTGTGTAACATTTACCTGCACACAGAACATATACATAAATCTGCAACTCAGCTCTGCATGAGTAGCAGTCAAGAAAACCACTGACAGTGTCTATGGCCCCAGTTCTGGAAAATTAATTATGCACATACTTAAGTTTATTCATGTGAGTAGTTCTAGTAACTCCTATGCCACTATTCATATGAGTACATTTACACTCATGCATAAATGTTTGCAGGAGCAGGGGCTATAGAAAGGGAGATGACTTGGTGTCTTTGGAAATTCTGGTCTTTGCAGGCAACAGAATCAGCGCAAATGAGTACAGACTAGAGGCTATATAACATCACCAGAGACTGTACTACGTGTCATTATTATAAGCAATATGCATGCCTTACTAAGGATCTGCCAAGTCACTTGGGGGAGGGGTTAGTTTTAAAGCGATAATGTCAACCTGGAAACTAGTCCTTTTTTTTTTTTTAAAGCGTTGAGAGCAATTTTAGGTTCTCCTGAGTCCCCACACCAATTGCTGAGCGTTTTACAAGGATACTGTTTGCTATTATTTTATTTATTCTAAGGTTTTCTTTCTCTCGTCTTCTTGCGTGAAAGTCCCACACAAACCACAGAAAGTCAACGGCCACCGAGCAGATTTCTTCAGAAGCGCCCGGCCAGCAGCTGGGTCTTCGTGGGAACGGAGCCTTTTAAAAGCCTCCTCCTAAAGCCCGCAGCCTGCCCTCTGACCCGCGAGGGCAGGGCCTTGCAGCCAGCGAGGGACTCGGCGGGCACCGCAGCTGGCAGGACGAGGGGGTTACAGCGGGGAAAGAGAGACAGCGCCCAGGCGGGCGCGGGGGTTGCCAAGTGCACGAAGTAAAAGGGGGAGAAGGAGAAGGGAGCCCCCAGCCCATCACTGCACGGCACTCATCTGCGGGTCACCTGGAGCTGCGGAGGGGGGCTGGGGGCTCGCGGAGAGGCGCCGGTGCAGACGGGGCGGTTGGCTGTGACTACTATTACCCCCCCCTCAACCATCTTCCCCCCCGGACGCCTGGGTCCCCTCCCCGGGGCAGTCCCGACGCCGGCCCCCGCACTCACCACCTCGCGGGCCCGGCAGGAGAAGTCGCTCTTGGGCCGCTGGCTGCCCCGCTTGAGCAGCTCGTCCCTGGGGCTGTCGCCGGCCGGGACCCCCAGCGCCTTGTTCCGGGTCTTCACCGTCTTCACGCTGGCTTTGAACAGCAGCGTGATGTCCACGGCCATGGCGCTCCGCTCCCGCCGGCCCGGCCCGCGGCCACCGGCTGCCAGACAGACCGGCCCCGGTCCCTGCGCACAGTCCTCCCCGCGCAACTCGGCCCGCCGCGCGGGGTTCCGCCGCCTTATCCGGCCGGCCCCGGCGCCGCGCCAGGGGGGAGACGCCAGAGGCAGCCCTAGTCCCAGCATGAGACCCCCCCGACCCCCAGGGAGACCCTGCACTGCCCCAATGTGTGTGTGTGTGTGTGTGTGGGGTGAGCCCCCAGGGAGACCCTGCACTGCCCCAGTGTGTGTGTGTGTGTGGGGGGTGAGCCCCCAGGGAGACCCTGCACTGCCCCAGTGTGTGTGTATGGGGGGGTGAGCCCCCAGGGAGACCCTGCACTGCCCCAGTGTGTGTGTATGGGGGGGGGGTGAGTCCCCAGGGAGACCCCCTCCCAGTGGAGACCCTGCACTGCCCCAGTGTGTGTGTATGGGGGGGTGAGTCCCCAGGAGACCCTGCACTGCCCCAGTGTGTGTGTATGGGGGGGGGGTGAGCCCCCAGGGAGACCCTGCACTGCCCCAGTGTGTGTGTATGGGGGGGGTGAGTCCCCAGGGAGACCCTGCACTGCCCCAGTGTGTGTGTATGGGGGGGGTGAGTCCTCAGGGAGACCCTGCACTGCCCCAGTGTGTGTGTATGGGGGGGGGTGAGTCCCTCAGGGAGACCCTGCACTGCCCCAGTGTGTGTGTGGGGGTGAGCCCCCAGGGAGACCCTGCACTGCCCCAGTGTGTGTGTATGGGGGGGTGAGTCCCCAGGGAGACCCTGCACTGCCCCAGTGTGTGTGTGTGGGGGAGCCCCGGGCCCCACGCCCCGTGTGTGTGTATGGGGGGGTGAGTCCTCAGGGAGACCCTGCCCCGGGGGGGCTGCCCCAGTGTGTGTGTGTGTGGGGTGAGCCCCCAGGGAGACCCTGCACTGCCCCAGTGTGTGTGTATGGGGGGGTGAGCCCCCAGGGAGACCCTGCACTGCCCCAATGTGTGTTTATGGGGGGGTGAGCCCCCAGGGAGACCCTGCACTGCCCCAGTGTGTGTGTATGGGGGGGGGTGAGCCCCCAGGGAGACCCTGCACTGCCCCAGTGTGTGTGTGGAGGGGGGGGTGAGCCCCCAGGGAGACTCTGCACTGCCCCAGTGTGTGTGTGTGTGTGTATGGGGGGGGTCAGCCCCCAGGGTGACCCTGCACTGCCCCAGTGTGTGTGTATGGGGGGGGTGAGTCCCCAGGGAGACCCTGCACTGCCCCAGTGTGTGTGTATGGGGGGGGGTGAGTCCCCAGGGAGACCCTGCACTGCCCCAGTGTGTGTGTATGGGGGGGTGAGTCCCCAGGGAGACCCTGCACTGCCCCAGTGTGTGTGTGTGGGGTGAGCCCCCAGGGAGACCCTGCACTGCCCCAGTGTGTGTGTATGGGGGGGTGAGCCCCCAGGGAGACCCTGCACTGCCCCAGTGTGTGTGTGTATGGGGGGTGAGCCCCCAGGGAGACCCTGCACTGCCCCAGTGTGTGTGTATGGGGGGGTGAGTCCCCAGGGAGACCCTGCACTGCCCCAGTGTGTGTGTATGGGGGGGGGTCCGAGCCCCGTGTGTGTGGGGGTGGTCCCCAGGGAGACCCTGCACTGCCCCAGTGTGTGTGTGTGGGGTGAGCCCCCAGGGAGACCCTGCACTGCCCCAGTGTGTGTGTATGGGGGGGGTGAGCCCCCAGGGAGACCCTGCACTGCCCCAGTGTGTGTGTATGGGGTGGGGGTGAGCCCCCAGGGAGACCCTGCACTGCCCCAGTGTGTGTGTATGGGGGGGTGAGCCCCCAGGGAGACCCTGCACTGCCCCAGTGTGTGTGTATGGGGGGGTGAGCCCCCAGGGAGACCCTGCACTGCCCCAGTGTGTGTGTGGGGGGGTGAGCCCCCAGGGAGACCCTGCACTGCCCCAGTGTGTGTATGTGTTGGGGGGGGGGGGACTCCCAAGGAGACCCTGCACTGCCACAGTTATGGAGGAGTATAAAAATATTGCTAGAGCATGCAGGGGTGTAATCAGGAAGGTCAAGGCACAATTGGAGTTGCAGCTATCAAGGGATTTGAAGGGTATCAAGAAGGGTTTCTATAGGTATGTTAGCAACAAGAAGAAGGTCAGGGAAAAGTGTGGGACCCTTATTGAATAAGGGAGGCAACATAGTGATATATCTTTACTTTAGCAAAGCTTTTGATATGGTCTCCCACAGTATTCTTGCCAGCAAGTTAAAGAAGTATGGATTGGATGAATTGACTATAAGGTGGATAGAAAGCTGGCTAGATCGTCGGGCTCAACGGGTAGTGATCAATGGCTTGATGTCTCATTGGCAGCCAGTATCAAGCGGAGTGCCCTAGGGGTCAGTCCTGGGGCCGGTTTTGTTCAACATCTTTATCAATGATCTGGATGATGGGATTAATTGCACCCTCAGCAGGTTCGCAGATGACACTAAACTGGGAGGAGAGGTAGATATGCTGGAGGGTAGGCATAGGGTCCAGAGTGACCTAGACAAATGAGAGGATTGGGCCAAAAGAAATCTGATGAGATTCAACAAAGACACGTACAGAGTCCTGCACCTAGGACAGAAGAATCCCAGGCACCGCTACAGGCTGGGGACCGACAGGCTAAGCAGCAGTTCTGCAGAAAAGGAGCTGGGGATTACAGTGGACAAGAAACTGGATACGAGTCAGCAGTGTGCCCTCGTTGCCAAGAAGGCCAATGGCATATTGGGCTGTATTAGTAGGAGCATTGCCAGCAGATCGAGGGAAGTGATTATTCCCCTGTATTTGACATTTGTGAGGCCGCACCTGGAGTATTGCATCCAGTTTTGGGGCCCCCACTACAGAAGGGATATAGACAAATAGGAGACAGTCCAGCAGAGGTCAACAAAAATGATCAGAGGGCTGGGGCATATGGGGCTGGGGCACTTATGAGGAGAGGCTGAGGGAACTGGGGTTATTTAGTTTGCAGAAAAGAAGAGTGAGGGGGGATTTGATAGCAACCTTCAAGTACCTGAAGGGGAGTTCCAAAGAGGATGGATCTAGACTGCTCTTAGTGGTGGCAGATGAAAGAACAAGAAGCAATGCTCTCAAGTTGCAGTGGGGGAGGTTTAGGTTGCATATTAGGAAACACTATTTCATTAAGAGGGTGGTAAAGCACTGGAATGGGTTACCTAGGGAGGTGGTGGAATCTCCATCCTTAGAGGTTTTTAAGGGCCGGCTTGACAAAGCCTTGGCTGGGATGATTTCGTTGGTGTTGATCCTGCTTTGAGCAGGGGATTGGACTAGATGACCTCCCGAGGTCTCTTCCAACCCTAATATTATATGATTCTATGAACCCCCCAATGAGACCTTTCACTGCCCCAGTGTGTGTGTATGTGGGGGGGTGAACCCCCAGGGAGACCCTGCACTGCCTCAGTGTGTGGGGGGGCATGAGTTTCCTTTCCACCCCCAGTGAGATTCTGGACTGCCCCAGTGTGTATGTGTGTGGGGTGAACCTCTCCACTGCCTTACTGTGTGTGTGTGTGGGGTTATCCCCCTCCATCACTCAGAGAACCGTGTACTGTCCCATTGCGGGGGGGTGAGCCCCCTCTTCAGTCTCCAGTGAGGCCCTGCACAGCCCCAGTTTGTCAGATGGGAAGGGGTGAGCCCATCTAATATCAACAGGACTCCCTCCAGGAGTGGTAGAGGTCCATCAAGACTGGGGTTTGGGGAATAATTTTTCTTCAATTGAATCATGTAAAATAAAAATTGGAAGTGTTCGTGCATTTACTAAAAAGATCAATATCTGTCTTTGGATCTTTGCACTCTAATCCCATTTACTTCCATGACAGCTCTGTATGTATCCAAGAGCATAGTTTAGTCTTATGTTTAGCATTCACTTTTTGTTTCTTAGAATAAACATTTTGTATACAGTAAAGGAAACACTTAGCCATTACAAGCCAACACTAATTTAAAGCCTTGGTCACACACACGAATTTTCCAGTATAGCAATACTGGCCAAACCCTCCTAATACAGATGCAGTTATATGGTCACAAAAGTGCTTTTGCCAGTATCTCTTTTTCTGGTTCAGTGAATGAAACAAGTTGTATTTGGCAAAAGCACTTTTTTGTTGGTATAACTGCATCTACACTAGGGCTTTTGCCAGTATAAGTGTCGTAAAAAAAATCATAACTCTAACTACATAGGTATGTCTGCAAAACTTGTAAGTGTAGACCTGGCCTTAGGGGGGTGTTTTCATGCAATGTTTTCTTATATACAATATTGTTATGGCAGGTGTCACCAGGTGGTGCTATTACAGTGTGTTATAGTTGTCCAGTTCTTTTTCTCGGGATATGTCTGCACTGAAAATGTGTGCCACTGTAGACACTACCTACTACCATTCCATTCCACCATCAACCTCAGCCTGGACAAGTCCACACAAGAGATCCACTTCCTGGACACTACGGTGCTAATAAGCTATGGTCACATAAACACCACCCTATACCGGAAACCTACTGACCGCTATTCCTACCTACATGCTTCCAGCTTTCATCCAGACCATACCACACGATCTATTGTCTACAGCCAAGCTCTACGATACAACCGCATTTGCTCCAACCCCTCAGAGAGAGACAAACACCTACAAGATCTCTATCAAGCATTCTTACAACTACAATACCCACCTGTGGAAGTGAAGAAACAGAATGACAGAACCAGAAGAGTACCCAGAAGTCACCTACTACAGGACAGGCCCAACAAATTAAATAACAGAACGCCACTAGCCATCACCTTCAGCCCCCAACTAAAACCCCTCCAACGCATCATCAAGGATCTACAACCTATCCTGAAGGACGACCCATCACTCTCACAGATCTTGGGAGACAGGCCAGTCCTTGCTTACAGACAGCCCCCCAACCTGAAGCAAATACTCACCAGCAACCACACACCACACAACGGAACCATAACCCAGAAACCTATCCTTGCAACAAAGCCCGTTGCCAACTGTGTCCACATATCTATTCAGGGGACACCATCATAGGACCTAATCACATCAGCCACAATATCAGAGGCTCGTTCACCTGCACATCTACCAAT